TATGTACAGTATTGAACTGTATAAAGTATATTTTCTGTAAACTAAAAATGCAAGTGGAATACTGTAACATGAAGCATTGCAGTGAATATACAGTCTTACAGGACAGTGCACATTGTTGGATTACATACCTGTTGTCTCAGTGAAACGTTTGAATGATTTAGGACACAGTTGTTCTCCCAACATTCAGCTGCTCCCTTCGACCAACTTCGGCCATTGTAAGGCCACGATGAAATGCATGGTCCACAGTTGTGGCCCTTATTTCATTTCATTTCATTTCTCAACTGCTTTGGAGCATTTCTCAAATGACAATTAACATTTGCAAAACAACAAGTGTAACCCCCAAACCTTAATGTCACTTATGCAGAGCAGAACATTGTTTTTCATTGCTTCAATCAAAGTGCCAAATGTTTTACTTCAATGGTTATGTAAAATTATCATCATTTGGTACAATTTTCAGTTGCTTTAGTCTTGTTGATAAAAATAGATTATGTGGTTTCCCAGTGTAGTATTTTCATACAGAAAACTATATAGGTAAGTGATCATTGTGTTAGCCACCACATACAAACAGTTACCAGGTGCTCAAAATGATTTAAACCATATTCCATAAATTGCAGTGATACGGCATTGTTGTGTTTTTGGTTCCCACAGCACATGATTTTGTTTTCATTTTGTTGTTCTTGTATTTTGGTGTTGTTGTGTTATACAGTGCAGTGTGGTGTTTTGGTTGCTATTGTACTGTGTCTATTTACATTTGCATACTTATCCATATGACAGACACCAGTTTCAACATTGCAAGGCATTACATTACATTATGTAAAGTTCACTGGCATGAGAAAGCACTCACATACACATGTAACTTCTTCAAAATACAGTAGCAAACAAAACTGTATAACACAAAAACAGCAAAATGGCAATACAAGGACAACAAAATCATGTACTGTGGGAACCAAAAACACAACAATGCCATATCACTGTAATTTATGGAATATATTTTTAAATCATTTTGAAAGCTTGGTTAAAGGTTTTGCGTGTGGTGGCTAAAATGATTATCACATACATATATAGTTTTGGATCTAAAATTATTACAATGGGAAACTACATAATCTACATAATCTATTTTGACCAACAAAAGTAAAGCAACTGAAAATTCTGCCAAATCTTGACAACTGTAGCAAACTATTTGCATATATGTACTAAAACATTTGGAAATTTGCATTAAGCAATGAGAAATGAAGTGACATCATGGTGTGGGGATTACACTTGTTGTTGTTTTGTAAATGTTAACTGTCATGTGAGAAATGCTCCAAAACAATAGAGAAAAACCCTAATAGTGATTCACTGTGGCTTCCTGTGCCTCAGTGCATTATGCTTGTAAAATTGGAGGCAGGATGCTTGTCTTGTCACAGCTGGCAGAAGCCATTGATTTCTGTGCACATGGGGAGCTTGAGCTGGGCTCCAGGTCATCGATTGGCCAGTTGGGGTGGTGTGGTGTATTATTCGTGGTTTGTAAGTGAAGGAGAAACAGGAAGAGGGCTAACTTGGAACACACACAAAGGGCAAAGCATGCATATTCAGACGGCTTCATATCTCCAGAGTAGACACAGCCAATTTAGGAGTCTTTGAAAAGGAAGTTTTAAAGTGTTTAGCCATGTTGGCTGGGAATATGTGCCTTTTACTGAATTACACTAATAGCATCAGGCGGTCATCTGCAGTAGTGCTCTCAGGATGCATTAACACTGGCTTTCAATGCTGTTTTCTACGTTTTATCAATCATCTCTTGACATTTAATATCCATGTTACTGTACTTTGTCACCTTTCCCACCTCTTCATCGTGGATTAGTGGTTATTCTCTGTGGCTTGGCTACTGCTTTGCCTTCGTTATTTAGCACTTGCATGTTTTGTGTTAGAGACTCCTGTGTGTTTGAAGTCCTTGATCATATGGTTTATAAAAAAAAAAAAAAACGCACAAACTATTATTAAGATTTCTCTTCGTATCATCATAGGGTTTTCTCCAGGTATTCTGGTTTCCCCCCACAGTCCAAAAAATGTCCAAAGGTGAACCGGAGTTACCAAATTGTACATAGGTGTGCATGGTGTGTGTGTCCTGCAGTGGGTTGGTACCCCATCCTGGGTTATTCCCTGCTTTGCGCCCATAGCTTCTGGGATCGGCTCCAGACCCCCGTAACCCTGCACAGGACAGAAAATCGATGGATAGATCTCCACAACCAGGGTGGAATAGCCATCTCTCATGGGCTGGAACATTGCTAATCTCCAGCTTAGAGTAGCTCCCTAGTTCTGGTGCTCGCTTTCTGTTGTCCTTTACGAAGCCCGCTACTCTTCAAGGACACTTTTGAAACAGTTCCCTTTCACTTCCAATACTCACCAGTTTTGTCTCATATCCATTTAAAATAATCTGATCATGATCCTTTCATCACTAAGTTCAATTTTCATGTAATCGGATTGTCTCTGTGAAGAATTTTCATTTATGTAAGTCCATTTCCTCGTTCCCATATGGTGTCTTGCTTTGGGCCTCTTGTTACCTAGAAATCTCATTACAGAGATACAGAAACGCTAGACTATCTTGGTTATGATCCTCATCGTCATGGGCAGCACCATTACAGAGACTGCTCTTCTCTCTGTTTCTCTGGGATGTATGATGATAAACAGCAGGATCCACTCACTGGCCTCTAAATAGTGGAAACATTGTGACAGCGGAAAGTGAAGAACAAAAAAATAAAGCACTTTCAAATTGCTCTTTTGTATTGACATACAGTACGTAACAGCACTAGACCAGCCTGCATTTGACCATTAAAATGTATTGAAGGTAAACATAAATATATGACATAATAAGTAAACAGAACAATTCTTTTAAAAATATTTTTTTTGCATTAATTGATTATGTACAAGGCAGGACCTGTGTGTTTGGGTCTGTCCTGTAGCTACTCTGACTGATGTATCTAAATTGCCTGTAATTTGTCCCCTCCAACCCCCCAGGATCATGACTGTGGTAAATGGGTGGGGGTGTATGCATTTCAAGCCCAGCAGGAATGGGTGAGTGCATGTTTGTGTGGGTGTGTCTGAATGTGTTTGTATGTGAGTGTGTGTGGGGGGGGGGAATGAGAGCAGGGGAGAGAGGGGGTGAGTGATGAGACTAAAAGCTGCAAAGAAACATCTGGGACAAAGAAAGGCGTGGATTACCAGGCTCAAGATGCAAGATTGTGAAAACATCAAATAAACTAAAGGACCTGGGAGAATCAATACGTGGAAAGTATCAGTTTTTTTCCAGAAGATGACAGAGTGCATGCAGAGAGACTCAGCCGGGGCATTAAAAGAAAGCTGCTGAATCTTAGAGACGTCGACTGAAACTTCACGTGCAGAGACTCAGGATCCCGCTGCAGAATCTCCGGTGTGTCGGGCAGCACAGCACAGAGTCCAGATGATGGGCTGCATCACAGACTTCTTCACCTACGAAACCACAAAGTCAGTGGTGGTGAAGAGCTGGACCATTGGCATCATTAACCGGGTCGTCCAGCTTCTCATTATTACTTATTTTATCGGGTCAGTACCACGGGGACCGGGCGTGATGCATGTTCCAGACAGAACTCATTGTTACAAATAATCATTCTGTACTTTACTGGATCGGTACCAGCAGGGACAGGGCGTGATGCATGTTCCAGACAGAACTCATTGGTACAGATGATGGTTACACTGTAAATCTCAGTAAATCTAAAGCGTCTTCTCAAATATTAGCACTAATCCAGTTTTACAATCTGCTCCTCATTTAACTTGTTCAACAGTAACATTAACAGCATTCATGCTTAATGCCAGCAATATGAAACCACAAATGGTTTCAGTATTTATACCCCTGAGAAGTAGCGCTGGTCTTTTCCTTATTACCGAGAGTGATGGTTCTTCTAAGGAGCCGCACGCATGCACTCTGATTCTCTGGCTTTCTCAATGTCCCCCAGCTGGGTGTTCCTGCATGAGAAGGCATACCAGGTGTGGGACTCTGCCATAGAATCCTCCGTCATGACCAAAGTCAAGGGTTTCGGTGTGTATAATAACAGAGTCATGGATGTGGCCGATTACGTCATCCCCACTCAGGTCAGTGACCCTGACTTTTACTACTGCACTGCATGAGCAGCTCATATCATATCCACAACTGAGGAAGTCGGCTTCATTGTCTCATGTACTTGTCTTTGTGCTTCTGTCAGGGTGCCTCTGTGTTCTGTATCATCACCAAGCTCATTACCACTGAGAATCAAGTCCAGGGCTTCTGTCCAGAGGTCAGCACTGCAGTCAGAGTTACTCGCATTGGCCCTTGTTGCAACCGTTCCATCTTTAGTCACTCTAGCTTTATTCCATCTGCAACTGATGTCCTGACCTGAGCCACTGTAGAAGGATGCATGTCTACAGATTGTTTTCTCAGTGCAGAACTGTGTAGCTGCTTAGCCTGCTGAAATAGTGATATTTACCCATTTGACAACATTTTCTGTGTTCTGTCATGGCTTCTTCGCTTCATCCTCCTTTTTCCAGAGTGAGATTAAGTACGCCTGCGGAAATGACAGCGACTGCAAGGCCTTAACCAACAAGCCTGGAGGGAATGGTCCGTTACACCCCTCTGCCTTTGCTTTGGAAAAGATCCACCACATTTTATTGAAGCACAACTGCTCAGACGAAAACAGTTAAATGTAACATCTCTTGCAGGTGTGATGACAGGCAGGTGTGTCAGTTTCAACAGCTCACTAAACACCTGTGAGATAACAGGATGGTGCCCAGCTGAGATTGACTATGTTAAAATGTGAGCTTCTCTTTCATTGTGATGTTAATATAACCAAGTGCTCTGTCACTGTACCTACACTGTACTGTATTAACCCTCTCTCAGTACTGTGTTAATGTACAATAGTGTCCAGTCACTGTATCTGTACTGTATTAACCCTCTCTCAGTACCGTGTTAATGTACAATAGTGTCCAGTCACTGTATCTGTACTGTATGAACCCTCTCCCTCAGTACAGTGTTAATGTACAGTAGTGTTCAGTCACTGTATTTGTACTGTATGAACCCTCTCCCTCAGTACTGTGTTAATGTACAGTAGTGTTCAGTCACTGTATTTGTACTATACTGTATTACCTATGACTATACTGTCTGTTCCCTCTCAGCCAACCCATGATGGAAGTGGAGAATTTCACCATCTTCATCAAGAACAGCATTCGCTTCCCACTTTTTAACTTCACAAAGTCAGTATGAGCCCAGAGTTCTGTGTTCAGGCTCTTTAATGCTTATCACACTCTTCGGGAGTGACACATCACAGAAGTGATAAGAAGTGACACAGCAGCACACCCTGTTACAAAGCCCTTTCCCCCCCCCCCCCTCCATCCCCCACCCCAGGGGTAACTTCCTGCCCACCATCACCAGCGACTACATCAAAAAGTGCAACTTTCACCCTGTCAACGACACCTACTGCCCCATCTTCCGGGTGGGAGACGTCATCCGCTTTGCTCACCAGAACTTCACCACTTTGGCCCATAAGGTGAGACCACGTTCCTCAGCTTGGTTAGGAGTCCTCTGCTTAGGATAACGATGGCTCCATGTTACATCTGCATTAACATATGAAGGCTAGAGCCAGCAGCCTTCACATCTAGCCTGTTTTGTTAAAAACAGCATACATTTTGTTTTCATGTTTATTCTAAAATCTTTTTTCTTTGCTGGTCTGCACAGGGAGGAGTGATAGGGATAAAGATCGGATGGCAGTGTGACCTGGACAAGTCAGAGGACAACTGCAACCCCTCCTACTCCTTCACACGACTAGATGCCGTTTCTGAGAAAACCAGCGTGTCTCCTGGGTACAATTTTAGGTAATGAACACTAAGCTTATTTTTTGAATACTAGGTCTATTCTTGCTGGAGAAGCAGCTGCACCATTACCTAAGGTTAGTGATGTGAAACATTTTCAGTGTTTTTTGACTCCACCAGATGGTGCTGTCTGTGCAAAAACGGGTTCAAAGCAGGTTCCAAAGTCATTCAAAAGCACCATCTAATGGGATCAAAAAATACCCCATTAACCTCTCCTGATTCCTTTGGTATCAGGTATGCTAAGTACTACAAGATGGACAATGGGACTGAGTACCGTACACTGCTCAAGGCCTACGCCATCCGCTTTGATGTGCTGGTCAATGGCAACGTGAGTTTCTGTGGGACTACACATCCCATGAGCACCTACTACAGATAGTGTTTAAGAACGGCCTTGTATCATGATGTAGGAGGTCCCTTGCTCTAGTAATATTGTCTTATGTAGGATGCTGTGAATTTTGTTGAGGATTTTTGTACACCTGTGCATCTTTGTTTTATTCGTAGGCTGGGAAGTTCAACATGATCCCAACTATCATCAACATGGTTGCAGCATTTACCTCTGTGGGAGTGGTGAGATTTGCCAGTTACTGAAGCATACAGAGGGCCTCCATACAATAACATAACAGTGAACACTGGATCAGTACTAGTTATTTTGTCTAATACATATTTCATATATTACTCTTCTGTCTTCACCTCCATCATGATTGGCTGCAGGGAACAGTTCTTTGCGACATCATCCTTCTGAACTTCCTGAAGGGGGCGGAGCAATACAAAGCCAAGAAATTTGAAGAGGTAACACAGCAGTCAATGTTTTTTCCCGTATCTGGACTTTCAGCCAATGAGACGCTATGTTGCCTGTTTGTCTGTAAATATTCAGCTGGATGGTGCTGCACTTTTCCTAAAGTGTCTCTTTGGTTCTGTTCAGGTGTCAGACACCCAGATAATGTCCAGCATCTCCCAGAGTAACGGGCTGCACCGCAGCAGCTGTGACCAGCTGTCTGTCAAACAAGATGAGAAGTGGTCCAATGAGTCCTGGGGTTTCTCTTATGGGCAGTAGGGACCAAGGACACAATTGTAGAGCGAAAGAGATACAGAGCAGCATCACAGAGCCCTGGAGGTACTGGATTTTTTTTTAAAAACATATAGTGAAAATTTACATTGTCCAATGACCTGTTTAATCTATTCTTTTTTGACTGAAACAAAATTAATCTCTCATATACCTCTCTTAGAGGAAATAAACAGATACCAGAATGTAACAAATAAAAATCAGATATTACCTACTAAAAGTCATTCCATCTTGTTGCATGTTACTCTGTTATTAGTTTTAACAGACTAAAGACTGTATTGAGGGTCAAAATTCTTCATACGAATAAAGTGTAGTCTGACCTGTTTAAAATACTTCCATTGTTTTAGAAGAATCCAACCAATACAGTGAACATGCAACAGCATAACCATCAATGAGATGGAAATAAAGAGGAGAGTGACTTTACATTTACATTTACATTTACAGCATTTGGCAGACGCCCTTAGCCAGAGCGACTTACATAAGTGCTTTAAGACTCTAAAAGTCTTTAGCATTATAATGGATAGGAAATGTGCTCCAACATCATCTCCTGTTCAGAGCTCTTCCTATGAGACATGCAGCGCTGATCTTTACAGGCCTGACAGAAATAAAATGTATGAAAGAGTAAAATTGCAGGCTTTGTGAAAGTTTAAATAAACGTAATAATAACCAATAACTTATGGTCCTTCTGTTATTGTGTGACAGTAAGGGATGCCTGTGTTTGCACGCATGTACGGTTTTCAATATTTGTGCATTTAAACGAATGTGATATGAGACATAAGCTTCATGCTGCGGAGCAAAGAAGTCCTTTATATTGTATAAAATTAGTGAAAACAGACGCTGCTTATGGAAACTGTAATGAGAAAATGAGTTGTGTTATATTACAATTTGACCACAAGATGGAGCCAACATTCACACACTTTTTCAATTACTGTTTACCCAGTTAGAGTCAAACTACTCCACAGACAATAGGAGGCATGCAAGGCTACACAAAGCTGCACAACGCAGGCAATCACCCTGTCCCATTATGGCAAGGGGAAGGGATGTCAGTAAAGTGCAGAAGTTGTTCATAGCTACTTTAATAACTTTAGTAGTTCTATGACCATTTACGGCAAAAACTGAAGAGGCACAAGCTCCTGCTAGGTCACATGATACAGTGAAGGCTCTGTTGTATTGGCCTATAGTATTTCTGCTATCTTCTTCATAAGTCCTGGTTCTTTAGAGGTGACCAGATGAGGCCTTTATTTGTTCAACATAATATGTTCCCCATAAAGCTGAGACTCACACTGAGAAGAGGGTTCAGACCCCTTAACCAATAAGAGGACACCCACCTCCAGGAGGTATGGTATCTATGGATGCACCTGCACCGTTATGGGGGACTGGACTAAGCTCTGTGTGAGCGGGGGGGCACTGGACAGGCCGAGGGAGGAGGGGGTGATTTGAAGATGCCGAAGCGTGGAATCCGGTGCACGCGACCAAAGTCAGCTCCTCCCAGTCCCACAGCACTTGGATCCGGGGCTGCCTGCGACTCTGGGGGATGGGGGGGGGAGGTAATGTGAGGACAGGAGGTAACTGTAACAAACCGCAGGGCAGGGTTACCCTGGGGTCAGGGGTTGGGGTGCAGGAGCAGGGTGGGGAGGCCTGTTACCACACTCACTATAACACACAGCAGAGCAGGGTGGGTGGTCTGTTACCACACTTACTATAGCACACAGCAGAGCAGGGTGGGTGGTCTGTTACCACACTCACTATAACACATAGCAGAGCATAGTGGGGTGGTCTGTTACTACACTTACTATAGCACACAGCAGAGCAGGGTGGGTGGTCTGTTACCACACTCACTATAACACATAGCAGAGCATGGTGGGGTGGTCTGTTAACACACTCACTATAACACATAGCAGAGCATTTTGGGGTGGTCTGTTAACACATTCACTATAACACACAGTAGAGCATGGTGGGGAGGTCTGTTACCACGCTCACTATAACACACAATAGAGCATGGTGGGGAGGTCTGTTACCACACTCACTATAACACACAATAGAGCAGGGTGGGTGGTAAGTTACAACACTCACTATAACACACAGTAGAGCATGGTGGGGAGGTCTGTTACCATGCTCACTATAACACACAGCAGAGCATGGTGGGGAGGTCTGTTACCACACTCACTATAACACACAATAGAGCAGGGTGGGTGGTAAGTTACAACACTCACTATAACACACAGTAGAGCATGGTGGGGAGGTCTGTTACCATGCTCACTATAACACACAGCAGAGCATGGTGGGGAGGTCTGTTACCACACTCACTATAACACACAGTAGAGCATGGTGGGGAGGTCTGTTACCACGCTCACTATAATACACAGCAGAGCATGGTGGGGAGGTCTGTTACCACACTCACTATAACGCACAGCAGAGCAGGGTGAGGAGGTCTGTTATGTCATATATGAATTTTAGTCAATTATGTCCAGTACCTGCAGAATCGTGAGGCATCCTGGTGCCCTCATCCTGTGCCTTCCCCTGCCCCTGATCCCTCTCGTGATCATTTTGGGACTTGAGACTCAGCTGCCTGTTCAGGTGGTGATGACTTATCACAGCGGAATGATCCAGAACCTGCTCTGACTAAGAGGAACAGGACAGAAGAAGATGACACGCTTACCATAAAGGAAAGACATTATTCTCAGAAATATGAGGAAACAGGAAAAAAACCTGCATGCCATGGTGCCCATGTTATACGGGCAGTTCCGCATTAAACAGAAACCTCTACAGCTGCTTGTACCTTTATACATGAAAAGTCAGCAGTCATCTCCTCTTGTTCTTGTTCCACCTCCTGCTGCACCATATATGACTCCAAGGTCTCATAGATGTCATCAGATTTACATTGCAGTCTCTTCTGAGAGGTTCTGTGATTGACCATGAACATGTGTAGCAGCAAATTACCCACCCTATCTTCTACATTAGGTCCATTTGACAGTGACATGAAGACTGTGTGTGGCCACTGGGAGCTAGTAGCCGGTGTTTTGTTTAGTGAAACACATCTGCATAGCGTTTACGTTTTCAATGGCTCCCATCTCAACAACTCCATATTATCCTGTGCACATTCAGGGTAAAGCCACAGTTCTGCTTAACAGGGGAAAAATACTCAAAGCACAAATGTGAAGAGCCTTGAAATGCACAGGATCTAAGCGAACAGAAATGGAGCCACATACAGACTCTCCGCTCCATCGGAAAATGCCTCAGGAATGACAGCCATGAGGAAACATGTGAACGGCTGTGACACAACCACGGCGCTATGGCAACCATGGCAGGAATGTCACGGCTGACTAGCCGGAGAGGGCAGAACCGTGCATGGGTACGAGGGGCTAGCGGGCGGCTCTGTGGGAACTTTCACAGGTCATGTAGACAAAGACATTCTGAGCCTGTAAATCCTAAACTGTCAGGTTATACCTACCCTTCCGAGTCCTCACGATGCCTCGGCTGAATGGACGTGATCTGGCCTAAGTCAGCCTTCTCCTCCATCTGATTTCCAGTGGCTACACCTTTGTTATAATCATCCTTAATAATTGGCTGCTGATTTGGATGCTGGAGAGCCTAATTAAAAACACACACACACATTAAAAGTATTTCCTGCTCTACCAAACACAGTTAAAATTTTACAAAATCATATGAGAACAAATGAATGATAGAGTCCCCATTAAAGGTAAATGTGTATATATGTTATGGGTAACATTACTTGGCAGGGCACAAATACTGATAACTCAGTTACCACTGAATTACAAATCATGAACAAATATAGCAGCTGCTTGAGAGAAAAGATGTGTCACGATTCAATAATGATGAAGAAACATGAACTCAGCATTTAACTTGTTATTCACGACTTGTTCCTTCAGTAGTTCACAAAGGTTTATAGAATTAACATATAGCAAAAAAAATATAGTGACTGCTTGACATGAAACATCCGTCACGATTCATTAATACTGAATTAACTTGAGATCAGTATGTAACTAAGACTTAGTTTGTGGTTTATTAGTATATAAGTGATAGTATAATACTACATTATTTGTGTCGCCTGAAGTAAAGTGTCTCCATGTTACATTATGAGCTAGACCAGCATGACTCACGCCATGGTCCTGTTTCTGGGCAGCCAGCTGAGTTTCTCCATTTTTCTCACATATCTCCAGCTGCTCCTCCTTGTTCTCCTTTCTTCTTGAGCCAATGCGACTTTCTCTCAATTTTTGCTTGATTTTCCCTGCAAATTTCTTTATTCGACTACTTCTCCTCTTGTTAGTCTTTTTTCCATCTGCTTCTTCCTCACCCCTATTGGCACTACAAGGTACAGCATTTGGACCTTGGACCCCGGAACTGTTCCCCGCATATGTCGACTCAGAGCTTCCATTGTCCTGCAGCATTCTTGGGGAGTCATAATGTCCGGAGGCTGACAAGCTTGTTGTAGACATATTCATTTCATCTGGCTTTCTCAAATTTCTCTCAAATTCCAGGCTCTGGCTAGAACCTCCAAGGATGTTTTCTGTAGTATGAGAGAGCAGCTGGTCACTCAGGCTTGGAGCTTCGATGGTTATTTCTGGGGAGATGGGTTCATTGGAGACCTCCGCGGGGAGGTGGGTATCAGATTCCAAGGGCAACCCCAAATCACTGAAACTGGACACCATGGCTGCAAGGCTAGCTTGAGCAGGTTCCTCACGGCACAACAACTTAACGTGAAAATCATGCATCATGCCGTCATGCGAGTCTGCAGCCATCACTGAGGAGCAAGATGCCCCCTGCTGGGGCTCTTCAGGGGCCACGGCACACTGGCTGGTCCCTTCTCCAGTAGGGGTTCCATCATCCTCTGCACCATTGCCTCCCTCCACACTATCCAGCACATTCTGGGTCGAATTCAATGAATCACAAAGACCCAAAGCATTCAAGGGCTCTTTTAGATGGTTGAGGTAAACCATGGGAGGTGGCAGAATATGTCTCCTCCATTTCAGAATGACATCAGGGTTCCCCGAAGCTGCATTTTCAGAAGTAGACTCCACTGATTCACTGCTCCTCTTGGGATCCTCTTCTTTTGGGTCCACATAAAATAACTCCCCATGGCTCTGACTGACTCCAACACCCAAAGGTAGAAGAGCACCAGAGAGTGATATGTCTGTTTCCTCTCTGCAGCCTGTAATCTTGCTGTGATTGGGCAAATCCCCGAGGAGAGACTCATCTTCCATGGTGAGATCTCTCGTAGACACTTGGAGAAAGACGGGGGAGAGACGCAGAAGCTAAGGACATACGGTGAGCCTCTCAGTCCTTATGATGCCTCTCAGCATTAGTAGACTTTACTCTTCCTCATGTATTCTATGTTTCTTCTTTTCTGGGAATCTGCCACACTTTGCGAATCTGCAAGCTTAAAGACAGCCCTGAGTAAATGGCTGTTAGCCTGATAAATCTCACTGCCTGGCAGAGAAAGGCTGACAAACAGGATAGACAAGCTAGGCAACCGGTCTCTTTTCATCCCTCTCTCTCCACCTATCATCTTGCACACCAGACCATGGAACACTGGGAATTTTGGGCAGCAGTTGGTTAATTTCCAAAACTTAACTATACATTTTCAAGCAACACCTTTTTTTAAAGACCCTTGTTGGTTATGTCTACTTATGGCTTGCTGAACATTCCCCCCTACCCCCCAGATGACAAGTTCTATTACCAACCCCCCACCCATATAAAAAGCTTCACACGATCATCGAAAGGTGGGGAACCCCCTAATTTTGCAGGATACCCCCCCCCCACACTCTGTGCTTATTAAACCATTTAATATAATTGTATGAAATACTTAACTTTCACCCAACCATCCATTCTGTTCTGCTTCTCCTGTTCTGAGTTTCTCTGAGGGTTTCTCTGGGGATTCATTTCCTGGGACTCAAGCTCCTTCCAACAAGCTGGTGACAGATGTAACTCCTGAAGTAAATTCTGTGTTAGCCTTTTATTAGTGATGGACCGATGAAGCAGCATGAAGCTTCCGGGCGTTCCCCATAAAGTGCCAGAATGTCTTCAAATCTTTTTTTCAACATAGAGAGACCCTTAGTGGATTTTGGCAATGCTTCGAGCAATCTGAGAATGAAGTCTCCATGCGTTTTCATCGAATGAATAATGTGGCCAGTATGACAGCAGGGTCTGATTGTGTCATGCTAAATATAATCTTCTGAAACACTATGTTTTTTTAGTTTACTTGTATGTATTTTCAGTCATTAGTATTCACAATAAAATATTGTACTTACGATCAGTATTTACAATAAATGATTGTGCTGAATCTGGGATGATGTCATTAATTGTTAAATTGTTGTCAATTAGGTGCTGCAATACATGCCACTGTTTTCAATTGTTGGGGTTTAGAGGGGATTTGTTAAACTGGGAAGATGGGGAACTGAGGAGAGAAAGAATGAAGTGTTGGTGCCTTGGGGTGTAGCTGCACATCTCATGGGGGCAATGACGATATTTAGCTCATTGAGGATGTGTTATTGTTGTAGGACAAATGTTTGGGGCAATGCACACCTGGCCAGTACAATAATGATAAATAATATGATAATATGATATAATCATTTACATTTATTCATTTGATGGATGCTTTTATCCAAAGCGATTTACAACAAGGGAATGGAAACCCAAAGGATTCATCTTTTATAAAAGTTTTGAAGAGCCAACAGGATTTGAAACTTCTGACACCTCAGGAGGAAATGGACGTCATCGGTTATGTGAAACGGATAAACAAAGCAAGCTCCAACTCCCAGCTTCAAGTTGCTTGGCTTCACTTTAACGAGGCGAGCGCTGAAGTGTCAGTATTATATGTCCCATACTTATGGATGGGAATGGGGCAGGATGAAGGGATAATTCACACTATGGCTCAAATGAAAGGGACTTTATTTTAAGTGAAGCAAAACAAGAAACAAAGGAAACCACAAGGGGTCTAAATCACAGGCAGGTATAATAGAAAGAAACACAGGAACTAAAACAGGGAGCAGCACAAGAACAAACATGGCAAATTGCAGTTAAACTCAATGACCGGCTGACGAGAGGAACTGGGGCAAGCACTTAAACACATACACAACAAAGAAAAACAAGAGACATGTATGGGCAATAACAAGCACTAATAACAAAGGAGCACAGGTCAGGGCAATCACTGGACAAAGGATCAAACACCAGGAGAGACTAAAATAACAAAGGTAACAGGCCAATACTACAAACGGGAAATAACGGGAAGCAATGACAAGGAACTGTAATAGAAAAACACAAATATATAATAAACCAAGAAAATACAAAGAAACATAAATGTTAAATTATAACTAGTTGAGCCACAAACCCATGACAGAAGGAGAAGCCTGGATAACATAACCACCCATTCAGCCCATTAAGCCATGCAGTGGCCAGGTTAACAGGAGAAGCATAAGGAGCTAACAGCAAAATGGATGGTCAGCGACACCTGTTGGCCAAACAGGGAACTGACATAACACAAGGGAGCAGGGCAGGGGCTGTTCCTGACACTTAGCCTTTATCCATTGGGATATGAGCCTCTGCTTTTCCTAGTAATAGATGAAGGGGTCCTGAAGGTATGTAGAGGAGAGCGTCTAAGAAGCTACTAATCACTCCACACAGCTTTGCCCGCTGTCATATGTACTTGCATGTATGTTATGACAAATTGATATTAAATGACTAAACTTGGATGGGTCATCAACCCTGGAAACTGGCGACATCAAGCGGTCAAGTAGTGATACTATACGAAAGTTTGAAATAATGTTTTTACTAATTGCGCTTTGCACTATCCATGAAGCTATTTACTGAAAATAACTGAAAGCATTCGCATCTAATTACTAATTAATTAGTTATTAGTATGAATAATGATTTTTTATTTTGCAAGTTCATTTTAATTAAGAGATGTGTAGGCAGCACTTATGTGAAATCTATAAACGTTTTATATAAGAGGTCCCAGTTATGTTTCATAATCGTACTTAGTCCAGAAGGGCACCTGGCAGAAATGCAGGGGTGGCTTTCATAATAATCTAAATACGCCTCTTTGTCCCTGACCCCGGGCCGTCAAAGCGTGCAACCACAGCAAAATAAACCTGTTGACGTCTTAGGGACAATCCAATGAAATGGCTACTATTTGAAACGTCATGACACAGATGGCCGCCTTTCCCGGAAATTGGTGGTTTCCCTAAACAAGAAAACTTTATGAGGCATGTTCGCAGCTTAGGTTTAATGTGTTTCCACCGTGAGAGACAATGAGGACAGCTTTAAGACACGTGTTCACTTCCTTCTGCTTGTGCTTAGCTGTAGCTGCATGTGGTGTTTTCGACAGTGTTTTGGTGGACGTGACGTACGATCACTATGCAGAGAGGAGAGTGGAGCGGCTGCCCGCATTCTTGGCGATGCCTTTGAACTCTCTGGTCAACCTGGGATATATAATTATGGGCATGTACTGGCTTCTTCGGCGTACGACTCGCGAAGAAAGCGGAAAATCCGCTTACATTAAAGACGTGTTCGCTCTGATGGCCATAGCGTACGGCCCCATGCAGTGGGTCCGCCTGGCCACCCTGAATCGGCTGGCCGCTGTTTTGGACCAGTGGGTCACGCTGCCCATCTTCGCCTGGGTTTCCGTGTGGTGCCGCTTCATCACGCACGGATGGCGTGGGCGCTACACGCTGACTGTGGTGTTATGCTCTCTGGCCAGTTATGCTCTGGCGCTGCTTCACGATCATGGCTTCGAGGCAGCGCTCGCCTGTCATGTCGCTCTGGCCGCCGTCCGAGGGTTTGAGCTCCAGCGGATGCACGGAGACACCGCGTCCCTGCGGTACCTGATCCTGGCTCTGCTGTCTTGCTGCGGCTTCGTTGTGCTCAAGCTTTTGGATCTGCCCCTTTCGCGCTTTCTGGCGTTTCGGTATTTTACCGGACACTTCTGGTCCAAGGTGTGTGACATTTTGCAGTTCCACTACAGCTTCTGTTTCCTCACACGCCTGACGCGAATTGCACAGAAAACGGACGACCAAAGGGACTGAAAATTCCCTGCCGGCGTCCGTACAAATGAGTTTCTGGCATGGACTGGCTCATTGTTCGCTTCTTCGTTCTAACGTAAAAAAAAATAAAAATATATACATTTGATACATGGGACTTGTGTAAATAGTAACAATTTAAAACGACTTTTAGCTGATGATGTTCAGTTTAGCGGGTACATTCTGGATAGGGTGACCAGATAATCCATGTCAAGGAGGACACTTTGAGCTACTTCGGGTTTTACAAACTACTTCCAAATTAAAAGGCTCCTGTGCTCGGCTAAAGAGTTCAGCTCTTCTTGTGCTTTGACTGGTTTGTTTCCTTGAGTGAAAGACTCATCCAGCTGTTTCACATTAGCATTAGTGACACATGCATGCTTATAGGAGACTGACCAATCAACACACAGCAAGAACTCGGTGCTCAAGTGAAATCCAAGTCCGTTTAATTGAAATGGTAATTTACAATTCCTGTCCTAGCTCAGAGTGTCCTCCCTGACATGGATTATCTGGTCACCCTAATTCTGGATAAGGTTTACTATACTTTAAAATCCATTTTCTTTACATTTACGACTTTACTGTAACATGTTGGTGTACCTACATACCTTGTAGCTTCATCTTTTTTGTTAATTTACTGTCTGATTTCTGTTAAAAAAAAATCACACAGGCTCACATCCTTGCACCTGGTAGCATTTATTTAGCAGTAACTGGACTATTTTTCATTCAAAGTCCGAGCTTATAAGTCTAGCTTTGCCACCGCTGTCAGCACAGGCTCGGATGGGGCCTTGCGGTTGGTCCACAGGAGACCCATCATTGCCACACGGAAGTCCTGATTGGTGCAGTAAATGAAAGGGTTTATCCCACAATCCAGGTAAGCCGTCACAGATGACAGCGTGCGCAGCCAATCAGGTGCTGGCGATTGGTCCAGCCTTCCCAACAGAACCAGCTGAAATTACATAGGCAAAATAGTTTTTGAAATCATTTTATCAATTCTACAACACTGAAAGACATCTTATTTATTAATGCTTCAAAGCAGACGACTGGTTGTAGTTTTATCTTCATGCCTGTTAACTACAGTCCCTTCCATTATGCGGTTTATTAATACTGTTTCTGACACAAGTAATTATAGCGCTGTCCCTAATTTTAGATAGTGGCAAGGAAATACATTACTGTGAAGAGTGTAATAGAAAACAATCTCTAACCTCTGAAACCGCAAAGGGTGTGTAGCAGAGCAGATAAAATGACACCAGCAGAGGAGTAACAGAGGAGAGATCATCTGGGTCCCTATGAGGAGAGAGGGAAGTAGGATATTTGTCCGAATTACCTTTATATCCCCAGAAGATTATAAAAAGTGACAAACTGCTAGTAATTATTGTACAATGCACTGGGTAAATGCACCTGCTCCTATTCCTAATCCAGCCAGCAGAGGTCAGGACTGAGCCGAGCACCACCAGCAGGAAAGGGGGAAAGATGCAGATGCAGAATGCGCACAGGATGTAGGCCAGCATGGCAGAGTAATTGTTCTCCCAGAAGACAGCACAGAGCATCTCTGCGGGGTCATATCTGATGTGAAGAGGAAACAGACGGCTACTAATTATTCCCATATGTCACATTATTTCCCTAAACTGCGGAACTTTTCAAACATCCCTGGTGCTTTTGGATAGGGGTTCCCAACCCCAGGATTTCCGAAGGGGAAATTACTTTCTAAAAATAACCTGTATATTCATTTTTTTTTAATGACCCCTGATTTTAATGTGGTCTATTTATAGCTGAAAAACTGGAAACATTAAACTTATGGAATTGGCCAGCAACCGACCCCCCCGGCTGTTTTTAGTGATCTATGACATTAATTATTTCCACTATGGCTGCTCTCGACTACATTTTTAGGATCTTTATTCAAACTATGCAATTATCCATGCATCCACCCATTTTCTGTAACCACTTATCCTATTCAGAGTTGCGGGGAACTATATAACTATATAAAATTAGATGTATGCATAATTTTTTTTTACAGACTTGTTACATACTGAGTCTGTAAAATTAATAAAAAATTCATTATCTGCCACAGGTTTTTGAATCCATACTTCACATCCAAGGTTCTTATCTTTCACAGTGAGTACCTGCTAAACAGACTCAGCTGAAACAGATACCTCATCAATGGGCATCTCTTGACTTTACCTGATCCATTTAAATGCCACAGGTACAGTGCCAAATAGCATCCCAGTGAGCCAAGAAATCAGGCAGCCTGCTCCTACAGCTATGGACAGATGTCTTCCTCTGCAGGCCAAGTCCAGTGCTTGCTGCATGCACAAGACCGCTGAGATGCAAGGGAGAAGATTGTCACAAGTACTGTCAAAAATTGCAGTGACCTTCTACTACAGTTACTCACAATTATACTAGTATTTCACTAGAAAATGATAATTATGTGCGAATCGGTATACCCAAGCTGCCAAGAGAGGAAGTGATGAAAGCGAATTTAAGGAGACAGACGACCTCACACCATGGTGACCTCTGACCATTAATCAGCACGGCCAGCAGGGAACTGGAGATGACGAACAGGGAGCAGCCAAGGTCAGAGAGTGACAGACTGACCACAGAGACCCAGTACTGGCTCTTAAACTGACCCCTTCCCTGTGAGCGAGGGACGACAGAGAGAGGGAGTTAGCAAAGGAGCTAGCAGTTTTAGTAATGGGAGTTAGCAGAGGAGTGAGTAAGGGGGTTAACGGAGGGTATTAGTAATGGGAGTTAGCAGGGGATTGAGTAAGGGGGTTAATGGGGGTATTAGCAATGGGAGTTAGCAGGGGGTCAATGATGGGGTTAGCAGAGGCATTAGCAGTGGGAGGTTATGGGGAGTCAGTGAGGGGATTAGTGAGGGCATTAGCAGTGGGAGGTCTTGGGGGGGTCAGTGAGGGGATTAGTGAGGGCATTAGCAGTGGGAGGTCATGGGGGGTCAGTGAGGGGATTAGTAGGGGGAAAGTGACAGGCTGACCACGGGTACCCACTACTGACCCTTTCCCTGACAGAGAGGGGTGACAGAGAGAAGGAGTTAGTGAGGGAGCTAGCAGTGTAAGTTAGCAATGGGAGTTAGCAGGGGTTCAGTGAGGAGGTTAGTGGGGAAGTAAGTGAGGGTTTAGCAGGGGAGGTACGGGGTGAGTGAGGGTATTAATGGGGGCATTAGCGGGGAGTGAGTGAGAGGGTTTGCGGGGGCATTTTGAAAGGTAGTTACCGTGACTGGTAGCGGGGGAGTTAATGGGTAAAAGTCACTTTGCCTGAGATGGTTCAAACAAGAGCCTCTGGGCAGGTGGGCAGCCCCATCCGCAGACCATCTACTTATATGTCTGCAAAGCTGCATTTCTAAGAAAAGGCGACTTTTCCTGATTTCCATTTAATCAGGACACAGTCCTTAAAATGTCATACAGGTGTTCTGGACCAATCAGCCTTTCCCAGTTCTAGAATCAGGACTGGTGGCATTTAAAAAGTCAGCTGTGACAATATTTTATCTTGAACATTACTTTGTGGACTTTTGTGTCAAATGTCCTAAATGTAATATTAAATAATCTGGCTCAATGCATCAGCTTATTCACACACCCCACAAGCTCCTGATACATAAGCAAATCTACTAAAAAAAAAATAAAAATGCAATACTCATTCTTAAATTAAATATACATGGATAAAGCTTGAAAAAGTCAATGATGAAGAAGTGACCTCTACCTTAATTTTGGTGAACAGGATCAGGGTATTCCCTGCAATACCAAGAATCATTTCCACACCAAGAACTGCCGCTAGTATGGACTTCTTCGCAATGAACTCCCACGTCAGTTCCAGGTCTGAGATGTTTGCCGACAAATTCACTGAAAGAGAAGGAAAGCTTATAGCAAAGTATATGCATTATTCATATAAAGAGGTATATTAGACTTTCCAAATTACCATCATTAACACAAAACCCAATCAATTACATAATTTGTATTTTAAAATATATCGAGCACATCAACAATAATGAAGCTAGAAAGTGCAATGGCATATATACCTTAAAATCCTTAAGGACAAACAATTCCAATATATATCTGTGTCATCTTCATTGCTTATACTAACAATGTAACTCACTTTATTCGTCTTTGTGAAGAAAAACCACGATAATCATAACACTCCACGGGTCTTCAGCCAGAAATATTGCAGTTCTGTCCACACATCACGAAGGCAGATGTCGTGGTTACTTATAATATCAAAGCAACTGACGTCACCGCCATCGACCTTTCTAATTAATACTCTCTAGTTTTGTTTAAGAGCATATCCTACTTGTCTATGCATGGTTATGATTAATGAATGAATAAGCTTAAACGGGCTACAGCAAATGGAAACTGCTAAGGCAGGTACACAATAGACAACTTTTGAGATTAATTTTTAAAGGACATGTGAAAAATAATTGTGTATGTTTCTCTCCTGTGGGGATTGCAAGTTGGAATTGATTATACACACTTGAACAGATTAATTAATTGTGTCCTACTCAGCAAATGCAAACAAGACATCAGACACGTCACTACTGACTGGTGCCATGGCGTATGCCTAAACCAGGGGCCTATATCATGAAAGAGGATTCCTTGCTAAGCCAGAACTTTGAGAATAAATAGCAGTAACTCTGGCTTTTCCATATCATGACACTGATTTTCTTCTTAGCAGGATACATCACCATGCTAACTTGTGCTACAGAACAAAAGTGTTCCTGACCAAGGCGTACTCCTTGTACGTGGTTTAAGACATTCTAGACTAAAGGACTCATTCAGAATTAGTTCACACTTTTAACTCTGCATTCCGCGCTGAACCCGCTTTCTGGAATACCCCCCAGGACTTGCCTACCCCTGGCTTAAACAAAGATTATCAGGCTTGTACACAAATAATCACAACCTCAATGGGCGTGCCTCCATAGTGGACACATTCAAAATGGCGCGGAGGTCCTCCCTGTCGCCCATGTGCCACACTTCCGGCGCTCTGATCCAACGTTTCCGGTGTCGGTCGGTTTCCAGACTGAGAAGGGCGAGTAGAGAGAACATCGTAAGTTTGAAACATACTTAGCTTCAGGTTGTTTATTAAATAATACATTATTCATTGTTGTCTTCCATAG